CCTAATTAGGGGTAGGGATTGCTTTGCTTTCTTTCTGTTCTTGTTTTTATTAAGTATGGTTTGTGGTTGTTTTTGTCGTTGTTTGAAATTCCACAAATTGCACATCAGGATTCGTTACATAGTAAGTCCCCCCCCCTTTCTATTATCTGCTTCCCATCCCACTTCCTAGGATGTTTCTTTTCTTTTCCACCCTTAGCTGCAACTTATCTTCCCTCTTTTATATCAGAACTCTAATGCTCTATTGGAATTAAAGATGGGCGGGGTCTAACTAAACTATTATTGTTGTCTTATTTATTTATTTGTGTTTTTATCTTGTATAAAAAATAAAAACCCCCAAAACCCAAAGTTGAAGCAAGAAGGCATCTTTCAAATGTTAAATAAACGCAAGCAGTGAATTGTCAGGACTTGGAAGCCCCCTGGTGATGAATTCACTCTTTCCACCCACCCACCCACCACCCCCCTTTCAAAAATGTGCATGGAATGAAAGAGCTGGCATTCAATTCTATTCTTTTAAAAGCATATTTTCTATTATCATTGGGTCCATTCGGACAAATATTGGGTCCTTTCTCTCACTTTTGACCCTTCTTGATTCCCTCATTTCTGGGGGTTGGACTAGATGACCCATGGGGTCCCTTCCAACTCTTCCGTTCTTACGATTCTCTCGCCTACAATTCCGACACCCGCTTCAGGTTGTACCAATCATACCAGCAGATAAACCACATTTTCTTCAGTTGATGGTAATTTTTTAGGGGGTAGAAAGGAGTGTGGCTTTGTTTGGGAGGTTTTTGTTAGGAAATCCTGACATCCAGTGGATGGGGAACGCATGACAGCTGACGTTACACGCCCAACATCCACTTAAAAGCCATATGGTGCCTTGAAACGCTTCCCCCAAAAGGATTCTGGGAGCTGTAGTGCTGAGAGCCGTTTGGAGACCCCCCCTATTCCCCTCCCAGAACTACCATTCCCAGAGTTCCCTGGGAAGTTGTGGGCATCTCTTTTGAGAGGCAATGGAGTGCGCCTCCGGGGGTGAAATCAAAGCTTTTCAGCAGCCGCTAGAAGGAAAAACGAAGGAGACGCCTGCGAGAAGCCAAGTCACAGGGAACCAGGCAGAGGCCTTCTCGGTGGTGGTGCCTTCTTCATGGTGATCCACTACTGCTTTAAGGGAGGTCTTGGAATAAGTAGATTTGTTGCTGATCCAAAACACCCACCCACCCCACTCACACATGAAAACAAAGACCACCACAGCCAACTACAAAGGAATAACCACACCCTAGGCCAACCCCAACCTCTCTCACCACCAAAGGAACACAAGCAAACAGCAAAGAACCTGCACAAACAACGCTGACACCAAACCCTACATACAGGAAGTAAAATAGAAAAATCGCCACCCCACCCCACCCCCACCCATCTCTTTCCCCTTTTCTTCCTAATTTCTCAACAAATGAAAATGATTTGTAAAAGTGTTACATGGGGGGGGGGGGACATGAGAGAGAGAGACATTGCACACTTTTGTAAATCAACAAAATCTTTAATAAATAAATACATAAATAAATACTAGTCCTAAAAAAGAGGCCTCCTCACCTGAAGGACCTCAAAGCCCACCTGAAGTCCCAAAACAAAACTATCAGATCCTGATCCATGGAGATCCATGCGTGCATGGAGCGATCTGCGTGGATCTGCATCTGATAGTTTAGTCTTTACAGTTGAAGGGAATCACATGTATAATCGTATGTTTGGGGACATCAGGTGGGCTTTGATGTTCTTCAGGTGACCTTTGGGGTGTATGGCTTTCCTCCATCTCCACTGTGCAGGATTCCTCTGGAATGACAAGATCACTTGCACAGCTTTCCTCCATCTCCACTGCACAGGATTCCTCTGGAATGACAAGATCACTTGCACAGCTTTCCTCCATCTCCACTGCGCAGGATTCCTCTGGAATGACAAGATCACTTGCACAGCTTTCCTCCATCTCCACTGCGCAGGATTCCTCTGGAATGACAAGATCACTTGCACAGCTTTCCTCCATCTCCACTGCGCAGGATTCCTCTGGAATGACAAGATCTTCCGCATGGGTCTTCTCCATCTCCACTGCGGAGGATTTCTCTTGAATTACCAGGTCCAGCAGAGAACCACACTTCGAACAAGTAGTAAGACTCTCGCTTTTCACCCCACTTCCTGGGGTAATCACCACCACAGTTTCTATTTGAGATGTATCTGTTGCGGTGGTCCTGATGCAACATCTCTCCATCCCAACCAATGCTGCACTCAGCAGCTGGAAACCCGCAGCGATATAGCCTAGATAAATAGAAGGTCCAATATGCTGCTCGCTGGGAATTTGAGGCAATTCAAAAGCTTCTGGGAAGACAATTTCCCCATTTTGTAAGACAGCAGACATGTTCCATATCACAGAAATCAGGACGAGTATCCCTGCAGGTAAGTTCAGCAGAGCTCCAAGGCTAAAAAAGGTTAACACAAAATCCTTATGTTTTCTGGGCTTGAACACGTTGTACAAAGCAAATGAAATTAATCCGAGGGCCGCTGAATTCATGATGGAAGCTAATGCCATTAAATCTTGGGCAATAAAAATTTCCCTTGGGAGGGTTGGATGTTGCTCATTGAGGTCTTCGCAATGCCAAAAAGCGTTGCCGTCGTTAGAAGGGTCTTTCCAAAAACAGACCTGCCAGATTCCAATCCAGATGTTCCCAGAGCCGATTCCCTTGATGTTTTCCACACGCCACACTCTCCAGTTGGCAATGGCTATTGAGGCAATGCACATCATCCAGGCCAAAATATCCATCAGGAATGCACACAACTGGAGACCGGAAACTACACTCAGCCATTTGACCACCAGGTCTTTCACCCGCAGGGGGGGTTTGGAGAGGCGGGGAGCAGGGGAGACCTTGGCAGACATCCTGGAAACAAAAGAGAAGACAAGATGCAGTGAGAGAGGGAATAACAAGCATGTCTAGTCATTGAAGGACATCCTCTCTCCTGCATTCTTCCTTCTATGCACAGAAAGAAGCAGCAAAAGAAACGAGTTCCCCTGCTCTCTCCCACCCCCTGGTGAGGTATAGACATCTGATCCAGAGAAGCCGACACTCATCGTTTCTTCCAGCACACTGCTACTGATTTAATCTACTGTTGCATTGTTCCTGGGAAAATGGCCAGAACCTCAGCAACCTGTTGTGGATGGGAAGCTGCTCATGATTCACTGCTCTGCTATCTGCTACTGCAGCTATCCTTTTCCACTGAGCCTAAACACACCTGATGGCATAGTGAGGAATGTTTAATCCATAAACTTACGTGAAATGCCTTCCTCAGCTAGAGTCTAGTGTGCCAGGAACAGAGCAGGTATTTGCTAGGTGCTCCTGAGCCTCAAGAAGACGGAGCTGTTGACCACTGAGCTGACGTTCGCCTGAGCAGCCAGCCAGCCACAGCAGCAACTGCTCTGCAGAATTCTTAGGTCAGTTACAGGCCAGTTAGAATCCTGACAACAACACAAATCATAACTCCAGGGTACTGGTCATTTGGAACATCAGGAAAGTGGGAAATGGGAGGGAACTCACTTCCCTTCTTCCCCAATGCAGAGTGTCTATTCCAGGACACTGTGCAGTTAAAACACGTTCTTCCTGAAGTCAGAATCAGAGCAGTTCCAGCAGTAAAACTGGTGATACAGTATGTGTATCTCAGTACAGATTTGTTTGATGGGCCTGAATGCATTTCATAAAGGATCTCCATGTACAAGAAAGGCTAATAGCATGAGAATTTCCTTGGCAAAATTATTGAAGACTCCTTACAAACCTATCATTCTTCTTCCCCATCCCATCTTGTTTGGACATTATAGTAAGGGAGAAGATCTCAGCTCTTTTCCTTTGCACTGGGACCACATGGAGTTTGTGCCATGGGACCCCATCACTCACAATAATCCAGGCAATACCATTTTCAGAACCTAGGTGTCCATGATTTAAAATCGCTTTCCTAAGACACTTCCGTCAAAATATTTGTGTTGCTTTCTTTCTGTTCCTTTCTGTGTTGATGCTCCGAATGTGAGCTGCTCAGCTGCATGCAGTTTCCACTGAAGTGTGTGTGTGTGTGTGTGTGTGGTTAACATTCGGCCAAGCAATGGGCCTAAATCCATGTATTTCACCTGAAATAACTTTGGGAGCCAGCCTTTAAAAATCTAAAGTGATATCAAATTCGGAGGAATTAAAAGCTGTCATCTTCTTGACTATTTTAAATATCTTAGAACATAGGTAAAGGTAAAGGGACCCCTGACCATTAGGTCTAGTTGTGCAGCAAATGGAGCATTAGAGTCATCCATTCATTTCAGGAGTTGTGACCATTGATAAGATGAAGCACTTTCACATCCACGTGGCAATGTGCAGTGCTTTTAAAAAGGTAAAGGACCCCCGACAGTTAAGTCCAGTCGCAAACGACTCTGGGGTTGCACCACTCATCTGGCTTTACTGGCCGAGGGAGCCGACGCTGGTCCACAAAAAACTTTTCTGGGTCATGTGGCCAGCATGACTAAGCCGCTTCTGGCAAAACCACAGCAGCGCACAGAAACACCATTTACCGTCCCTCCGGAGCGGTACCTATTTATCTACTTGCACTTTGACGTGGTTTGGAACTGCTAGGTTGGCAGGAGCAGGGACCGAGCAACGGGAGCTCACCCCGTCAAATACGCAAGTCCAGTTCTGTAGCTGCATGACATCCTCCACGCCCAAATGCTCTCCCGTACTGTTTCCCCCACTTAATCAGAATAACACCATCTCCATTGAAAACTCTGCTCAGTGACACCCATCCAAGAGAAAAGTGCTGACCGTCTTCACGCAGATACAGTTCCGCGCAGGGGTTTGGCCGACAAGTTCTTCCCGAGTGTGGGGGTGTTTTCAGGGGCTCTTTGCTTTTCCCTGCCTCCCCTTTCATCCTCACCTGAGGAGATCTTGGCCATTCTCTTGACAGGGACCTCCGTTCTCAGGCTGGATTTCTGTTTTCCTTCATCCCTCCTTCTCCCGGTGTGGTTCACTGAGCAAATAAGACAGAGGAGGTCTCATGCGAGTCAAGGTGTGCAATGGATCTTCAGGGCATTTGGAAGGAAGAAAAGGTTCAGGAACAAGCGACACAGCAGCCCCCCAAGCGTAGAAACACATTTGAACATATCGCTCATGAGATTCGCCCCCCCCCCTTAGGATATAAATGCAGAACATCCTGCGCTCCTATTAAAATACAAAGTGGGGTATTTCATATGATAAGCACAGAGGAAGCTGCCTTATACGGAGCCAGACCAATTTTGAGAAAGTGCTACATGGGCCACTCCACCAATTGGCTATCAATGAGAACATAGCAAAACACAAAATGGCTGCCATATGGTGCGGTATGAAATAAATTTGCCTGGCTGTGGGGCGTGAAGGCCGCACCCTGCAAGACCCTTCCCACGTGGCTTAGGCCCAGACTTGCTAGCCCCACAAAAGAGGCTCCTCATGAGGCCAGAGGAACATGGCCTGGCTGTGGGGCATGATTCGAAACCTCCAGTCCCAGTCCAGTGCTCTAACCACTAGACCACACTGCCCCCCATTGCAGTCTATAATAGCCTGGAGGGCCATAGATGCCCCATATTCTCTGGCTCTGAGATTGCCCAAAGTTTCCTTTCTCTCCCTGGTTGTGCACAAAGAAAAATGCCCATGACAAAATGTGACATTTTTGGTTCTTTGGAGACAGTTCTGCTTCCCTCTCTCTCCCTTTCTCTCTCTCTCTCTCTCTCTCTCTCTCTTCATTTAAAGGAGCCTCATCCCTTTTCCCACCCAACTTCCTCCTGCACACAGCTTCAAAATTTCCATGAAGAACTAACTAAATAACCAATCCATAATTGGAATTTATGAGATTAAGGAGATAAATTATTTTTATATAATGAAAATAGATGGGAGGATAAGTTAATTGCGCAAGGTGAGAATATATAGGATGGCAAAAAATTAAAACAAAGATTATGATTTGGTTTCTTAAAATAACACCAACACATGCCTCCTCAGTGGATTTCAGAACAAATGTCTCTCTCTTTTTTTAAATTACGCAAACACTGTAATGCAAGGAGTTGTAGTGACAATGCAGTGAGATTCTACTCAGAGAAAGCCTATTGGAATGAATGGGTTTGAATTAGTTGTGTCATTTAGTTTTTGCTTTTAATCTGGATAATACCTAATTAGGGGTAGGGATTGCTTTGCTTTCTTTCTGTTCTTGTTTTTATTAAGTATTTTGTTGGGTTGTTTTTGTCATTGTTGAAATTCCACAAATTGCACATCAGGATTCGTTACATAGTAAGTCCCCCCCCCCTTTCTATTATCTGCTTCCCATCCCACTTCCTAGGATGTTTCTTTCTTTTCCACCCTTAGCTGCAACTTATCTTCCCTCTTTTATATCAGAACTCTAATGCTCTATTGGAATTAAAGAGGGGGAAACCCAGCCAGTGGGCGGGGTCTAACTAAACTATTATTGTTGTCTTATTTATTTATTTGTGTTTTTATCTTGTATAAAAAATAAAAACCCCCAAAACCCAAAGTTGAAGCAAGAAGGCATCTTCAAATGTTAAATAAACGCAAGCAGTGAATTGTCAGGACTTGGAAGCCCCCTGGTGATGAATTCACTCTTTCCACCCACCCACCCACCCCCCTTTCAAAAATGTGCATGGAATGAAAGAGCTGGCATTCAATTCTATTCTTTTAAAAGCATATTTTCTATTATCATTGGGTCCATTCGGACAAATATTGGGTCCTTTCTCTCACTTTTGACCCTTCTTGATTCCCTCATTTCTGGGGGTTGGACTAGATGACCCATGGGGTCCCTTCCAACTCTTCCGTTCTACGATTCTCTCGCCTACAATTCCGACACCCGCTTCAGGTTGTACCAATCATACCAGCAGATAAACCACATTTTCTTCAGTTGATGGTATTTTTTTAGGGGGTAGAAAGGAGTGTGGCTTTGTTTGGGAGGTTTTTGTTAGGAAATCCTGACATCCAGTGGATGGGGAACGCATGACAGCTGACGTTACACGCCCAACATCCACTTAAAAGCCATATGGTGCCTTGAAACGCTTCCCCCAAAAGGATTCTGGGAGCTGTAGTGCTGAGAGCCGTTTGGAGACCCCCCCTATTCCCCTCCCAGAACTACCATTCCCAGAGTTCCCTGGGAAGTTGTGGGCATCTCTTTTGAGAGGCAATGGAGTGCGCCTCCGGGGGTGAAATCAAAGCTTTTCAGCAGCCGCTAGAAGGAAAAACGAAGGAGACGCCTGCGAGAAGCCAAGTCACAGGGAACCAGGCAGAGGCCTTCTCGGTGGTGGCGCCTTCTTCATGGTGATCCACTACTGCTTTAAGGGAGGTCTTGGAATAAGTAGATTTGTTGCTGATCCAAAACACCCACCCACCCCACTCACACATGAAAACAAAGACCACCACAGCCAACTACAAAGGAATAACCACACCCTAGGCCAACCCCAACCTCTCTCACCACCAAAGGAACACAAGCAAACAGCAAAGAACCTGCACAAACAACGCTGACACCAAACCCTACATACAGGAAGTAAAATAGAAAAATCGCCACCCCACCCCACCCCCACCCATCTCTTTCCCCTTTTCTTCCTAATTTCTCAACAAATGAAAATGATTTGTAAAAGTGTTACATGGGGGGGGGGGACATGAGAGAGAGAGACATTGCACACTTTTGTAAATCAACAAAATCTTTAATAAATAAATACATAAATAAATACTAGTCCTAAAAAAGAGGCCTCCTCACCTGAAGGACCTCAAAGCCCACCTGAAGTCCCAAAACAAAACTATCAGATCCTGATCCATGGAGATCCATGCGTGCATGGAGCGATCTGCGTGGATCTGCATCTGATAGTTTAGTCTTTACAGTTGAAGGGAATCACATGTATAATCGTATGTTTGGGGACATCAGGTGGGCTTTGATGTTCTTCAGGTGACCTTTGGGGTGTATGGCTTTCCTCCATCTCCACTGTGCAGGATTCCTCTGGAATGACAAGATCACTTGCACAGCTTTCCTCCATCTCCACTGCGCAGGATTCCTCTGGAATGACAAGATCACTTGCACAGCTTTCCTCCATCTCCACTGCGCAGGATTCCTCTGGAATGACAAGATCACTTGCACAGCTTTCCTCCATCTCCACTGCGCAGGATTCCTCTGGAATGACAAGATCACTTGCACAGCTTTCCTCCATCTCCACTGCGCAGGATTCCTCTGGAATGACAAGATCTTCCGCATGGGTCTTCTCCATCTCCACTGCGGAGGATTTCTCTTGAATTACCAGGTCCAGCAGAGAACCACACTTCGAACAAGTAGTAAGACTCTCGCTTTTCACCCCACTTCCTGGGGTAATCACCACCACAGTTTCTATTTGAGATGTATCTGTTGCGGTGGTCCTGATGCAACATCTCTCCATCCCAACCAATGCTGCACTCAGCAGCTGGAAACCCGCAGCGATATAGCCTAGATAAATAGAAGGTCCAATATGCTGCTCGCTGGGAATTTGAGGCAATTCAAAAGCTTCTGGGAAGACAATTTCCCCATTTTGTAAGACAGCAGACATGTTCCATATCACAGAAATCAGGACGAGTATCCCTGCAGGTAAGTTCAGCAGAGCTCCAAGGCTAAAAAAGGTTAACACAAAATCCTTATGTTTTCTGGGCTTGAACACGTTGTACAAAGCAAATGAAATTAATCCGAGGGCCGCTGAATTCATGATGGAAGCTAATGCCATTAAATCTTGGGCAATAAAAATTTCCCTTGGGAGGGTTGGATGTTGCTCATTGAGGTCTTCGCAATGCCAAAAAGCGTTGCCGTCGTTAGAAGGGTCTTTCCAAAAACAGACCTGCCAGATTCCAATCCAGATGTTCCCAGAGCCGATTCCCTTGATGTTTTCCACACGCCACACTCTCCAGTTGGCAATGGCTATTGAGGCAATGCACATCATCCAGGCCAAAATATCCATCAGGAATGCACACAACTGGAGACCGGAAACTACACTCAGCCATTTGACCACCAGGTCTTTCACCCGCAGGGGGGGTTTGGAGAGGCGGGGAGCAGGGGAGACCTTGGCAGACATCCTGGAAACAAAAGAGAAGACAAGATGCAGTGAGAGAGGGAATAACAAGCATGTCTAGTCATTGAAGGACATCCTCTCTCCTGCATTCTTCCTTCTATGCACAGAAAGAAGCAGCAAAAGAAACGAGTTCCCCTGCTCTCTCCCACCCCCTGGTGAGGTATAGACATCTGATCCAGAGAAGCCGACACTCATCGTTTCTTCCAGCACACTGCTACTGATTTAATCTACTGTTGCATTGTTCCTGGGAAAATGGCCAGAACCTCAGCAACCTGTTGTGGATGGGAAGCTGCTCATGATTCACTGCTCTGCTATCTGCTACTGCAGCTATCCTTTTCCACTGAGCCTAAACACACCTGATGGCATAGTGAGGAATGTTTAATCCATAAACTTACGTGAAATGCCTTCCTCAGCTAGAGTCTAGTGTGCCAGGAACAGAGCAGGTATTTGCTAGGTGCTCCTGAGCCTCAAGAAGACGGAGCTGTTGACCACTGAGCTGACGTTCGCCTGAGCAGCCAGCCAGCCACAGCAGCAACTGCTCTGCAGAATTCTTAGGTCAGTTACAGGCCAGTTAGAATCCTGACAACAACACAAATCATAACTCCAGGGTACTGGTCATTTGGAACATCAGGAAAGTGGGAAATGGGAGGGAACTCACTTCCCTTCTTCCCCAATGCAGAGTGTCTATTCCAGGACACTGTGCAGTTAAAACACGTTCTTCCTGAAGTCAGAATCAGAGCAGTTCCAGCAGTAAAACTGGTGATACAGTATGTGTATCTCAGTACAGATTTGTTTGATGGGCCTGAATGCATTTCATAAAGGATCTCCATGTACAAGAAAGGCTAATAGCATGAGAATTTCCTTGGCAAAATTATTGAAGACTCCTTACAAACCTATCATTCTTCTTCCCCATCCCATCTTGTTTGGACATTATAGTAAGGGAGAAGATCTCAGCTCTTTTCCTTTGCACTGGGACCACATGGAGTTTGTGCCATGGGACCCCATCACTCACAATAATCCAGGCAATACCATTTTCAGAACCTAGGTGTCCATGATTTAAAATCGCTTTCCTAAGACACTTCCGTCAAAATATTTGTGTTGCTTTCTTTCTGTTCCTTTCTGTGTTGATGCTCCGAATGTGAGCTGCTCAGCTGCATGCAGTTTCCACTGAAGTGTGTGTGTGTGTGTGTGTGGTTAACATTCGGCCAAGCAATGGGCCTAAATCCATGTATTTCACCTGAAATAACTTTGGGAGCCAGCCTTTAAAAATCTAAAGTGATATCAAATTCGGAGGAATTAAAAGCTGTCATCTTCTTGACTATTTTAAATATCTTAGAACATAGGTAAAGGTAAAGGGACCCCTGACCATTAGGTCTAGTTGTGCAGCAAATGGAGCATTAGAGTCATCCATTCATTTCAGGAGTTGTGACCATTGATAAGATGAAGCACTTTCACATCCACGTGGCAATGTGCAGTGCTTTTAAAAAGGTAAAGGACCCCCGACAGTTAAGTCCAGTCGCAAACGACTCTGGGGTTGCACCACTCATCTGGCTTTACTGGCCGAGGGAGCCGACGCTGGTCCACAAAAAACTTTTCTGGGTCATGTGGCCAGCATGACTAAGCCGCTTCTGGCAAAACCACAGCAGCGCACAGAAACACCATTTACCGTCCCTCTGGAGCGGTACCTATTTATCTACTTGCACTTTGACGTGGTTTGGAACTGCTAGGTTGGCAGGAGCAGGGACCGAGCAACGGGAGCTCACCCCGTCAAATACGCAAGTCCAGTTCTGTAGCTGCATGACATCCTCCACGCCCAAATGCTCTCCCGTACTGTTTCCCCCACTTAATCAGGATACACCATCTCCATTGAAAACTCTGCTCAGTGACACCCATCCAAGAGAAAAGTGCTGACCGTCTTCACGCAGATACAGTTCCGCGCAGGGGTTTGGCCGACAAGTTCTTCCCGAGTGTGGGGATGTTTTCAGGGGCTCTTTGCTTTTCCCTGCCTCCCCTTTCATCCTCACCTGAGGAGATCTTGGCCATTCTCTTGACAGGGACCTCCGTTCTCAGGCTGGATTTCTGTTTCCTTCATCCCTCCTTCTCCCGGTCTGGTTCAATGAGCAAATAAGACAGAGGAGGTCTCATGCGAGTCAAGGTGTGCAATGGATCTTCAGGGCATTTGGAAGGAAGAAAAGGTTCAGGAACAAGCGACACAGCAGCCCCCCAAGCGTAGAAACACATTTGAACATATCGCTCATGAGATTCGCCCCCCCCCTTAGGATATAAATGCAGAACATCCTGCGCTCCTATTAAAATACAAAGTGGGGTATTTCATATGATAAGCACAGAGGAAGCTGCCTTATACGGAGCCAGACCAATTTTGAGAAAGTGCTACATGGGCCACTCCACCAATTGGCTATCAATGAGAACATAGCAAAACACAAAATGGCTGCCATATGGTGCGGTATGAAATAAATTTGCCTGGCTGTGGGGCGTGAAGGCCGCACCCTGCAAGACCCTTCCCACGTGGCTTAGGCCCAGACTTGCTAGCCCCACAAAAGAGGCTCCTCATGAGGCCAGAGGAACATGGCCTGGCTGTGGGGCATGATTCGAAACCTCCAGTCCCAGTCCAGTGCTCTAACCACTAAACCACACTGCCCCCCATTGCAGTCTATAATAGCCTGGAGGGCCACAGATGCCCCATATTCTCTGGCTCTGAGATTGCCCAAAGTTTCCTTTCTCTCCCTGGTTGTGCACAAAGAAAAATGCCCATGACAAAATGTGACATTTTTGGTTCTTTGGAGACAGTTCTGCTTCCCTCTCTCTCCCTTCTCTCTCTCTCTCTCTCTCTCTCTCTCTCTCTCTCTTCATTTAAAGGAGCCTCATCCCTTTTCCCACCCAACTTCCTCCTGCACACAGCTTCAAAATTTCCATGAAGAACTAACTAAATAACCAACCCATAATTGGAATTTATGAGATTAAGGAGATAAATTATTTTTATATAATGAAAATAGATGGGAGGATAAGTTAATTGCGCAAGGCGAGAATATATAGGATGGCAAAAAATTAAAACAAAGATTATGATTTGGTTTCTTAAAATAACACCAACACATGCCTCCTCAGTGGATTTCAGAACAAATGTCTCTCTCTTTTTTTAAATTACGCAAACACTGTAATGCAAGGAGTTGTAGTGACAATGCAGTGAGATTCTACTCAGAGAAAGCCTATTGGAATGAATGGGTTTGAATTAGTTGTGTCCTTTAGTTTTTGCTTTTAATCTGGATAATACCTAATTAGGGGTAGGGATTGGTTTGCTTTCTTTCTGTTCTTGTTTTTATTAAGTATTTTGTTGTGTTGTTTTTGTTGTTGTTGAAATTCCACAAATTGCACATCAGGATTCGTTACATAGTAAGTCCCCCCCCTTTCTATTATCTGCTTCCCATCCCACTTCCTAGGATGTTTTTTCTTTTCCACCCTTAGCTGCAACTTATCTTCCCTCTTTTATATCAGAACTCTAATGCTCTATTAGAATTAAAAGAGGGGGAAACCCAGCCGGATGGGCGGGGTCTAACTAAATTATTATTGTTGTCTTATTTATTTATTTGTGTTTTTATCTTGTATAAAAAATAAAAACCCCCAAAACCCAAAGTTGAAGCAAGAAGGCATCTTCAAATGTTAAATAAACGCAAGCAGTGAATTGCCAGGACTTGGAAGCCCCCTGGTGATGAATTCACTCTTTCCACCCACCCACCCCCCCTTTCAAAAATGTGCATGGAATGAAAGAGCTGGCATTCAATTCTATTCTTTTAAAAGCATATTTTCTATTATCATTGGGTCCATTCGGACAAATATTGGGTCCTTTCTCTCACTTTTGACCCTTCTTGATTCCCTCATTTCTGGGGGTTGGACTAGATGACCCATGGGGTCCCTTCCAACTCTTCCGGTTCTACGATTCTCTCGCCTACAATTCCGACACCCGCTTCAGGTTGTACCAATCATACCAGCAGATAAACCACATTTTCTTCAGTTGATGGTATTTTTTTAGGGGGTAGAAAGGAGTGTGGCTTTGTTTGGGAGGTTTTTGTTAGGAAATCCTGACATCCAGTGGATGGGGAACGCATGACAGCTGACGTTACACGCCCAACATCCACTTAAAAGCCATATGGTGCCTTGAAACGCTTCCCCCAAAAGGATTCTGGGAGCTGTAGTGCTGAGAGCCGTTTGGAGACCCCCCTATTCCCCTCCCAGAACTACCATTCCCAGAGTTCCCTGGGAAGTTGTGGGCATCTCTTTTGAGAGGCAATGGAGTGCGCCTCCGGGGGTGAAATCAAAGCTTTTCAGCAGCCGCTAGAAGGAAAAACGAAGGAGACGCCTGCGAGAAGCCAAGTCACAGGGAACCAGGCAGAGGCCTTCTCAGTGGTGGCGCCTTCTTCATGGTGATCCACTACTGCTTTAAGGGAGGTCTTGGAATAAGTAGATTTGTTGCTGATCCCAAACACCCACCCACCCCACTCACACATGAAAACAAAGACCACCACAGCCAACTACAAAGGAATAACCACACCCTAGGCCAACCCCAACCTCTCTCACCACCAAAGGAACACAAGCAAACACAAGCAAACAAAATCTTTAATAAATAAATAAATAAATACTAGTCCTAAAAAAGAGGCCTCCTCACCTGAAGGACCTCAAAGCCCACCTGAAGTCCCAAAACAAAACTATCAGATCCTGATCCATGGAGATCCATCCGTGTATGGAGCGATCTGCGTGGATCTGGATCTGATAGTTTAGTCTTTACGGTTGAAGGGAATCACATGTATAATCGTATGTTTGGGGACATCAGGTGGGGTTTGATGTCCTTCAGGTGAGTTTTGGGGTGTATGGCTGTGGCGTTTGCCTTCTAGGATGGGTCATAAGGAAAGGGTTAAAATGGGTGTGATGTGATTGGCCAGTGAGAATGCAAGGGGGGAGTAAAAGTTAGAGTGGGAGGTTTGAAAGTCAGTTGAGGTTTGGGAGTTGGAGAAGGAAGAGGGAGGAATAGGCCGTGGGTTGGTCAAGTTGTATTGTGAGAGAGTGAGAGGAATTGTTAGGTTGAGTCAGATAGATAGTTGGAATAATCAGTTTGGAGTTGTTAGGAACTAAGATGAAGAAACTGACAAGAGAAAAATAAACTGAAACCATACGCTTGTTCCTGCATTTAATAATAAACTTGATCATTTGTTAATGTTAACAACTGTCTGGACTCTGTGTGTCACAGTGGTGGCCACATGTGGTGGGAGTGTGAAAAGATAAAAAAAATTGGGGACTTAATATATAATGAATTGAAGAAGCTTTTTAAGTATACATTGCCGGAAAAACTGGGGGCTTTTTTATTAGGGATAATAGGGGAGGAAGTAAAAAAGGAGGATCATAAATTATTCCAATATGCTACAGCAGCAGCTAGGATCCTTGTAGCTCAAAAGTGGAAGTCACAGGAGACCCCAACGGTTATGGAATGGCAGGCTAAATTTTTTGAATACACAGAATTAGCTAAAAAGACGTATAAAATCTGGGACAAAGTTTGAAGAAGAATGGGGTAAATTTGTGGCATACATAAGAATTAACTGTAGAAGTTTAAAAACTACAGCAGGGTAAACATAAATCCTGTGATGTGTATAGAAGTTAATAAGAATCTGTAAGAGAAGATATATATTAAGAAAATCGCAGCTGGGAAGGAAGGAAGTCTGGGCGTGAATATACGCAGTGTAAATAAGATGACATAAAATGATGGCTGTAAAAGATTGCTTTATTTTGTTTGTGAAAAAACTCAATAAAAAGTATTTGCAAAAAAAGAAAAAGAAAGAAAGCAATCACAATGGTGGCATAGGGTCAATAGACCGTCAAATGTCCGGGGGCCCTGTGTGATCGCCACGAAATTGGTGGTAGCGTGGGATCACAACCGTACCTGCGGTGCAATAACATCACTACCTGTCACCACAGAAGTGGTAGGCAAGTGGTGGGATTCGGTGGGGAAAACAATACACCTGGAGGGGGGAGGGTAAATCTGTGAAGGGATTACCTAGCCCCCCGGGGGTGTAGTTGGTGAGGTACCCAAGATGAGCCGCAAAGCCAAGATAACAAAGAGAAAGAGAGCTCAAAGTCTGCTCTGATAGAGGGTTTAGGCTCGTGGTCAGAGGAAGGAGAGCTTGAAGGGTTAGAGAGAAAACACATAGCAGAACTTGGGCACAGAGTCTTGAGAGAAGCCTAGCCAGAAGAAACAGAACTGAGAGGAAATTTCTCTTATTTTGTTAATTTATTGATAATTCTCACTCACACAATATGCCACCCAAAAAGATAAGAAACCCTGTGAGGGAAACAACTTATGAAAGCTCTGAAGGAGAGGAGAATGGAAATCCTCAGAGGGAAGAGCAGAGTTTAGAAAATATAACTAGTATTCAACCTGAGGCAGGGGGTCCAAAATTCTCTGAAGAATTTGAAAAGTGGAAGTTAGAACAAGAATACAGTATAGATTGGAATTGTAAAAGATTAAATCTGCACAGGAGTTAGAAAGAATGCAATTTCAGTTGGAGATGAGGAAACTGGAATTGGCAGCTATGGAGAATCAAAATAATAGTAATAACACCAGTAGTCCAACTCAAGTGAAGGTAGATTTAAAGCATTTTCCTGAGTAAGGAAAAAGATTGCCCTGAGGCTTTCATTATATCATTTGAAAGAGCTTGTGAAGACTTTCAAGTGAAAGATGAGGATAAGATGACGATCCTTAGAGCCAGGATCAGTGGGTCATTAGCTCAAATTTATGCCCAAATGTCAGAGAACTATTCAAAAATTGTTGATATATTTAAGCAACTAATATAAACCGGGTTTGGGATTACCTCAGAACAACTGAGAAAGAAATTCAGAAGTGTGACTAAAGTGAGGAAGGAGACATCCGCTCAGCTTGGGGCGAAAATCTCAAACCACCTCACAAAATGTTTAGAACAGGAGAGGGCAGACTCTGTTCCAAAAATCAGAGAAGTGTTTGCTCTGGAACAATTTTATGAAACAATAAACGGCCAATTAAAATATCTTATAAAGGAAAGACACCCTCAATCACTTCAAGAAGCCGCTAACTTAGCTGACCAAATAAATGAAATATGGGACCATAGGTTTGATGAACCAAGTTTTGGCGGGAAAGTGTGGAGGACTAACAGAAATAAATTCCAACAAGCAAAGGGAAGCCCCTCTTCAGAGAAAGACAAGGGAAAGTGGCCATTGTCAAAAGGGCAAAATGACAAGGCCCAAGCCAACACCAGTCTCACTGAGGAGAAAGGGTGGAAAACAAATTATACAAATCCCAAAGAACTGAAATGCTGGGGATGTGGAAAATTTGGCCACAAAAGTTTTAATTGTAGAGCTGGAGGAGAAAAGTCTGGTAATATTAGCCCTCAGGGGAAAAAAAAGTATTGCATCAAAGCTGAGGAGAGTCAAGCTAGTCAGGATAGGCCGAAGCCTGCTGAAGTAGTGGAGGCGAAAGTGGCACATTGCTATGCTATAAAACAAGACAATCTTCTTTTGAAAAATGCTGGGGAAGATATTTGGATTGAAGGGAGGAGATTTCTAGGGTTAAAAGACACCAGTTCGCAAGTCACTATTGCCCACCCAGAGATC